CCGCCTCGTACCCTGGGCTCACCCCACTGACCCTCCTCTCCCCACCTCACAGGTGAAGCGGGAATTAGCAGCAGTTCTGCTCTTTGAACCCCACAGCAGAGCAGGGACCGTGTGTAAGTCAGACAGGGGATAGGAAGCTGGGCAGCAGGGACCTGGACGTGGCAGAGGCCATGGAGAAGTGGGGGATGCCCACAGGAGTGTCTGATCTGTGCTTCTCTCAGTGTTCAGCCAGGGAGACAAGGGCACCTCGTGGTACATTATCTGGAAGGGATCTGTCAACGTGGTGACCCATGGCAAAGTGAGTTCTTCCTGTCTCCCCAGCCCCTGGGTTGTACCGGCTTCCCTGGTCCAAGTCCTCCCAGGAAGTACCTTCAATGGACCCAAGGTTGCCAATCTCCAGCTTTCCTCCTGCCTTGGGGTTCTCCCACCGTGCATCTGTTCTGAGTGTTGGGGAGCCTGGCTGGGCTGTGACTGAGACCTGGTTGCAGGGGCTGGTGACCACACTGCATGAGGGAGATGACTTTGGACAGCTGGCTCTGGTGAATGACGCACCCCGGGCAGCCACCATCATCCTGCGAGAAGATAACTGTCATTTTCTCCGTGTGGATAAGCAGGACTTCAACCGTATCATCAAGGTGCCATTACTGGGGGTGGGGAGGGCAGGGGACATGGCAGGGACATGTCTCTGGAGAAGTGGTAGGGGGTAAGGTAAGGGGCGTGGACAGAGAGGGCCTGTAAGGAGCAGGGAGAGGTAGGAGATGGGGGAACTTGGAGGTGATGGCTGGAGTATGGCCAAGTGAGGAGGGCCATAGCACATTGAAGAAGTTTAGCGAAACCCAAGAACTCCAGCTCAGTGCGGGAGACCGTGGGGGTAGGGGGTCACAGAGAGGTAGGGGACTAGGGTGTGAGGGGAGGCAGTGTAATGGAAAGGGGGAGCCACAGAGGGAGGCCAGTGAGGGATGGGTAGAGAGGGGCTCAGGCTGCATGATAGACAGGACTGGTAGGGCAGATCCAAGGCCATGGGCATGGAATGGGGTGGGAGGAGGGCTGAATGCCCCTGTGGGAGCCTTGTGGGTCTGGCATGGAGGTGGAGGGAGATGCTCTAAAATGGGGAAAGGAGCCATGATGTGTGCTGAGCACTGGGTATGGCTTGTTGTCCAGGATGTGGAAGCAAAGACCATGAGGCTAGAAGAGCATGGCAAAGTGGTGTTGGTGCTGGAGAGAGCCTCCCAGGGCGCTGGCCCTTCTCGCCCCCCAACCCCAGGCAGGAACCGGTAACACACCCGCCATGCTCCTTCTGCACCCCTTCTCTCTTGCCCACCTTGTCTCCTTCCGTTTCCCAGGCTTTCCTCCCTTCCTCCGTGTCTGACCCCCGCCTGCTGGCCTCCTGGGGATGGGGGGAAGAGGGGCACCCAGGGATAAGATGTGCCCCCCCCCCAGAGCCAGCTTTCCCTCCAACCCCAAGGTGGGACAGAACTGGCAAATAGGGAAGAGTGAGATGATGTGATTGATTATTGATGTCTGTCCCAGATACGGGAGTGGGAGTGGTAGCACGTGTGCTATGGACTGGCTGTTTCTGCTAGGTATACAGTGATGTCTGGCACCCCAGAGAAGATCCTAGAACTGCTCTTGGAGGCCATGCGGCCTGATTCCAGTGCTCATGACCCAACAGGTAGGGGCAAGAGACACCCTGCCTGCTGTGTGACTCAGTGGGTGGGCAGTGTAGTCTGGGAGAGGGCCAGGCACCCTGAGTCTGACCTCACTGGCTGCTGGGCTGGTCCATGTGGTCAGTCGGCAAGAAGTACTCATTCCTGTGCTCTTGGCTTGGGTGGGGAGAGCTGTCACAGCGGCTGGACGTTGCTGGCACACCGCCCATTATGGGACCGGGAGAAGGGCTACTCCAGCTATGCCTATGTCAGTGCTCAGTAGACTTAATCTCTGAAGCCTCCTCCTGTCCCCTTGTCCCTGCCCTACAGAGACATTTCTCAGCGACTTCCTCCTGACCCACAGTGTCTTCATGCCCAGCGCCCAGCTTTGTGCTGCCCTCCTGCACCAATATCCTTCCAAGCCCCGGGGTGACTAGGATGTCGTATGGAGCAGGGGGAAGGCATCCCTCACAGCATGGCTGTGCCGAACCCTCTGAAGTACCAGCCTCATGCCAAGGCCAGCTTGTCAGTGGGCCCTGGGCATCCTTGCCCCTCCTTTCCCGCCGTGTGGTGGGTGGTCTGGTTGGATGTTGTGGTCCCCTTGACCGGTGCCCACCTTCCACGCGGAGCCCTCAGGAGGCAGTGAGCAGGAGCACAGCACCTACGTCTGCAACAAAAGGCAGCAGGTCCTGCGGCTGGTCAGCCAGTGGGTGGCCCTGTATGGTCCCATGCTCTACGCTGACCCCGTGGCCACCAGCTTTCTCCAGGTACCTGGGAGTGAGGCAGGGCTGGACTGGGCTGCCAGCATAGATGCAGCCACCTCTGTGTTGATGAATCTTGGCTCCTCCCAGAAACTCTCAGACCTGGTGAGCAGAGATGCCCGGCTTTGCATCCTGCTACGGGAGCAGTGGCCGGAGAGGCGGAAACACCACAGGTAACGCCTGGCTCCCAGTCAACCTTCCGTATGAATGCCAGGCAGTGCATCAGGGACTGAGAACAGCACCACTGGGGCCAAACGTGTGGCTTGAAATCCAAGCTGCACCGCCTGTAGCTGTGCCGCCCTGGGCACGTTCCTCCCTCTCAGGGCTTTGGGCTCCAGTCTGGAAAACCAGGAGAGATCCTATCTCAGGAGGACAAAATGTTAGCGCGCCTTAAGAGCACCGAGCGGTGCCTGGAATGCCCTGTGTGATCCACGAGCGTCGGCTGGGGTTGCTCATTTGTCTAGACCTGCTCGGTCAATTAGCTGTTCTTACCAGTCCCCTTGCTGTCCACCTCACGTCATGTTCGTGCATTCTCCTGCATCACGCAGTCACTCCCGTGTCATTCTCATATCCCGAGTGCACCTGCTGTCCTCACTTCCTCCACTCTGCACATATTTATTACCAAGCATCCTCAGGGCTGGTTCCTGCTGGCCGCGCCCGGTGAATTCCCTAGAGCTTATCTTGGCCCTCCCAGACATTCCCATGGGGGCAGGTGAGGTTCAGGGAGAGCTCACCTGCAGTGGCCCCTGCCCAGTCTGACACCTGGGGTACTTCCTTGAACTCTCCTTCCCCTGCTGGCCTGGGGAAATCCCAGAGTGCAGGCTCTGGGTTGCAAGCCCCCGCTTTGCCCCTCTCTAGCTGGTGCTTACCATGTGTGCAAAACTCTGAGCCTCTGAGGAGGGTGGGCGGGATCCGGAGCCAGCCCTCCCTGCCCCTGCCCTGCCCACGGGGGCCCCTGGTCTCATCTCACCTCCCTTCTCATTTGCTCCCCAGGATGGAAAACGGCTGTGGGAATGCATCTCCTCAGATGAAGGTGTCTGCATATGAACTGGCTCCTCTCACCTCTGTCTGGCCCCGGCTTCTTCTCTCTGCCCGCCTCCGGGACCACACGGCCCCTCCAGCCCCCACCCCAGGGGCTCTGCCTGGGAAGGGATCCCCATGCACAGACACACCCCCGGGGCGGGGACAGGTGTTCACAGAGCACGAGCCATGTGTGGCACTGGGAGCTGGCCTGATGGGAGACACAGAGGTCCAAGGTCACCTCTCCACCCCTCCCTCACCCCAAGGGGCTTCTGTTGCATTTGGGAGGGAATCCATGTTCGCAGAGCCTGTTAGCAGTTCCCTGGGAGGTGAGGGATGGTTGCCTGAAGGCAGCCTCTGAAGCCCAGGGTTCTGGGTGCCCAGCACTCTGGGAGCCAGAGATGGCCCATACCGTTCCCTGCGGGGGCCCACAGGGAGCAAAGGGGAACGAGAACAGGGGCAGGAGCTGAGATTTCTTGAGGCATCGTAGGAAAAAAAGACTGGAAAGGTAGGATGGGGCCGGTTGTGGGGAATGATGCCCTGGGAAGAACAACCGGGCTCTCTGTGCCCAGCTGCCTGTCCCCACTCCTGCTCTTCCTGCCAGAGACTCTCACAGCTCCTCCTCTTCTACGGGCAACGCTTGTTCCCCCCTCAGCGTCTGGAACTTTCTTTCTCTGGTTCTTTGCCCACCTACATCCTTCCTATCTTTCTGATCTCAGCCAAAATGTTGGTTCTCAGAGAGGCCCCCCTCCCATCTCCCTATCGAGAGCATTCCCCACTCCCCGCAGGCCCCCTCTCTGCTTCCTCCAAGGTGTCTTCCATGATTCCCTTCAAAGCATTATGACCAGGTGGAGTCGTTTTGTTTCTTTGCCTACTTGCTTATTGCCTGTTAGTGTCGGTCACGTCCCACTAGAATGAGGGAAGGGCCTGGACCTCTGTTTCCCCAGGGCTCCCACACTGCCCGGCTCGTGCCTGATGCTCAGGAACTAGTGTGGAATCGCCTTCGTGTGCTGGGCACTGTGCTAGGTGCTGACAATGTGGTAGTAGGGGAGAGCCGCCCCTGGCCTCGTGGGGTCATAGTCAAGTGAGGGACAGAGCTGCTGAGCAGTGTCACGATGCAGGACAGGAAAGGAGGGAGTCTCTGAAAAGGGAAGGGCTGACTCGGGGTCAGGATCAGGGAGAGCGACCCCAGGAGCTGCGAGCTGCAGGGTGTGAGGGTCAAGGCAGTAGAGGACTGCAGTCAGGTTCAAGGGGAAGGGAGTCCACCGGTTAGGGACCCTGCAGGAGGGAGTGTGAGAAGGAGCGAGGAGACCGGGGAGGCATGCAGGGGCCACAACATGCAGGGCCCCGTGAGCCTCGGTAAGGGGTTTGGTGCTTGTTCTCCAAACCATGTGAGCAACTGGAGGTGTTGGAGCCATGGAATGACAAGGTCAGATGTGTGTTTTGAGTAAGTCAGCTAAGGAGCCTGTGCTTTATCCAGCAGACAATGATGGCCTTGAAGCTATATTAGGAAGCTTAGTCTGGCTCAGGTCAGGCAGATTGGAGGGGGAGGGCGGGAGGCGACCCAGGGCCGAGGGTAGAGAATAGTAGGGCCATTGTAACACATGAGGAGGGAGGCCACTGGGCAGGTGGAACAGGAGGTTGGCCTGGGCTGGGAGGAAGGGCGCAGAGGAACCCCCAGAACAAGATGACAAGCTGTGGGGGAAGCCGGGCCAGGGGTGGGGGGGGGGCGGGGTCTGAACCTGGAGGATCTGCGGCCTGCAGAGCTGGAGGAGGAAGAGTCAGTACAGGCATTGGAAGAACAGTCGGGCGGGCAGAGGAATTGCGTTCCGGAGGCGTTTGCCCATCAGGGCTGCCCCATTGGCCCAGTGTTGGGGCCCAGTGAGGAGCGGCTGTGGGACTGGACAGGGCAGGTGACACGGGGGAGTAGAGCATTGGTGGGTAAGAAGGGAGGGAGGGAGGGAGGAGCAGGTTAGGATTCCAGCTGTGCCACGTACAGCTGTGTGGCCTCATGCAGGTTATTAACCTCTCTGAGCCTCATTTATCTCCTCTATAAAATGGGAATAAGAATGATGATATTTTCGTCAAAGGGCTGTTGTGAATAGTTAGACACTTACAATAAGCCTGTGCTCAGCCTGGCGTGTAGCAAATAGCAAACTAGCAAATGTGAGCCAAAGGAGGAAGAGGAAGAGAAAACCAGGGCCAACAGCTGAGGTGTGCTCGTATTAGAACAGCCCTGGATCGGCCCTGGATAGAACAGACCTATCTATTTGGCAAAGGGGGCGACACACATGTACGGGGCACTGGCTTGTTTGTAGCCCTGCTCTGGCTCTTCTCACGGAGCCGTGGCGCCCGACGCCCGCTGGGGCTCGGATTCCGGCCGCCAGCAGACCCCATGCGTGGGCCCCATGCTCCCGTGACAGAGTCCTCTCCCTGGCTCTGCGTGCTCTCCTCTGTGTCCTCCGGGCCTTACTTTCTCTCCCTCTTAGGCCAGGAACATGCCTGTTTGGCTCCCCGGCCAGGACCAGCCCCTCCCCAGCAGCAACTGTGCCATTCGAGTTGGGGACAAAGGTTGGTGGTCCCAGCCGGCCAGGGCATAGCCTGCCGTCGTCACCCTTGACCTTAGTTTGCCTGGCCGAGGAGGGCACGCTGGACTCCTCGGGGTCTCTGTTCCAAGCTGCCAGACAGAGTCTGCCCCCCGTGTGTCCCTCCACAGCTCAGGGCCTCCCTACCTACTCCGTGCGGCGAATCCCCCCAGGCTTCCCCTTGTCACCTGTCCTGCTTCCTGGGGATCCCCCGCCCCCCACTGCTACCGTTGCTGCCCGCTGACTTCTGGGTAGGGGCACCAAGGAGCCCCTTCCTCCAGCTCAGCCCCGTCTTCCTTCCCCCTTCCAGTCCCCTATGACATTTACCGGCCGGACCACTCAGTGCTGACCCTGAAGCTGCCTGTGACGGCCTCAGTGAGAGAGGTGATGGCAGCGTTGGCCCAAGAGGATGGCTGGACCAAGGGGCAGGAGCTGGTGAAGGTCAACTCTGCAGGCGGTGAGTTGTGTCTCTGGGCAGGGTGGCCCCGAGGGAGAGGCCCCTTGGATCCGTGCCTAGACTCCCCCCCATATTAAGATCATCATTTTTATCATATTCATCGATGTTAATGATGGTTAGCATTTAAGGGCGGTTTGTTATGTGTCCTCAAAGTGATTGGTGTGTGGTGTTTAAGAGCGTGAGCTCTGGAGCCTGCTGTCTGCATTTGAGCCCCGCCGTGTCTGTAGGTCCTTGAGCAGGATATTTAATCTCTCTGTGCTCTTTTTAGCACCTGTAAAATGGGGCTGATGAGAGTGCCTACTTCATAGAGGAACTGTGAGCAGTGCATGAGCTCGTTTATTTAAAGGTTTAGAATGGCGTCTGACACAGCAGTTCGTACATAGGTTTTATTATTATCATGCTCATATATCCATTTAATCCGAGTAACGACCTTATTGAGATAGGTACTTTCATCCTGTTTGCAGACGGGGAAACTGAAGCTCAAAGGGGTTATAGGCAATTTTCCCAAGTCCACATAGTAAATGAGAGACTCTGGCTTTTGACTCTAGGTAGTCCTCATTCATTCTGTCAGCTGGCAAATGTATTTGAGAGTCAGCTAGTGGGCCAGCGAGGTGTTGGGAGATAGAGGCACCATGGCAGGTGAGATGGAGGAGCTTGATGGTTAGGACCAGAAACAGGACTCCCGGACCTGGGCTGGGATCCCAGGACCCACTGCTGACTAGCTGTGTGATCCTGGTCTGAGCAGAGCGCTTATCGGATTCCTCGTCTGTCACATGAGCACTAAAACTGCACCTATCTCACAGGACTGCTGTGGCCATTAGACAAGATAACGTATATAAAACATTCAGCACGAGGAGGCACAAAGTTAGTGCTCAGAACGGGGCAGCGTGAGAATTATTTAGACCTGCTTTCAGGGAACTTGGGCCATCAGAAACCGCTGCGAGTTCTCCGTGAAGGACACAGCCCCGGGGTTGACAGCTGGAGCCCAGGGTAGACAGGAATTAGGGGTACCCAAAGAATGAAGGCAAGGAGTGGAGGCCAGAAAAGCAAAACCTTCTCCCCCTTCAGGAAGTGGGGAGACAGGATGAAGTCATGGGTGCCTGTGCTCTGTTCTGGGAAGCACCGCCCTCTGGTGGCCACCTGGAGAATTACAGTTGTCCAAGGACTTGATTGACACCCTACTATGAGGCAGAAGCTGTTTAGAGCACTGACCTTCAGATTGTTTAGATGGACTTCCATGTCAGTGACTCATATTTTGACCACAAGCCCCCTTCTATGTGTATATTTGCTTGTAAGTCATTTGCACATAGTCCTATACTAACATCGTATCAAGCTGCCTGCGACGTAAAAATGCGAAACAGAAGAGAAAAATAAATATGAGGTAATACTGTTTTGGACACATGGATGGTCTCGTATATCTGGCTTTGGTGGCTACTGGCCTACAGACTGGGGACTCTAATGTGACTAAAAACACAGTCTCGGTCAGTAGGAAGTGGTGAAAATCAACACTAAGACCTCTGTCAGGCATTTCCAGTTTTCAAAGGGCTTTTCTATGCATCGTATACTTATGGCCACTACTTCCATAAATTAGTTTATTAGACTCGTGAGTAGTCAGGGTAAGTCTTGCTGTCTCCATGTGACCAAGGAGGAAGCTCAGGAAGACTCCAATATTGCCCAAGCTCTGCCTGTCTCGCTAAGAGCCCTGTGCTGACCTGGGCAGTGCGGGTGTGTGGGCACCTGCCCCTGTGCATTCAGAGCATCTGCCCAGGACTCCAACCTGGCTGCTGGCAGAAGGGGCCTCCCAGCCTCCCACATGGGGCCTCTACCCTGCCTTCAGTGGCTCCCTGGCCTCCCTCTCTGCACCCCGACCCCTCCCAGCCCACTCTCTGCTCTCTTTGCAGACGCCATTGGCCTGCAGCCAGATGCCCGTGGTGTGGCCACATCGCTGGGGCTCAACGAACGGCTCTTTGTTGTCAACCCACAGGAAGTGCGCGAGCTGGTAGGAACAAGCAGGGTGCCAGGGAGGAGCTGTGTTTTAGGGGTGGCAGAGGTGGGTGCAGGGGAGGGTCATAGAGAGGGGAGAGGGGGGCCTGGCTCTGGCTGCTGCTGGACGTAAGGGAGAAGAGGAAGGAGTGGGCCTCAGCGGATGGGAAGGTTCCAGTTGCTGGGGAAGGGAGAGAGCCGGTTGAGAGCTCTCAAGGAGAAACAAGAACCCCCCTTGTTGGGGGCTCCCCCAGGAGACAGGAGCCGTACAAGGAGGGGGTCTCCGCACTGGGGAGCCAGCAGGAGACTAGATGCCTCTTTGGGAAGCCCTATGCCTCAGAGGCCCTTCCGTTCTGGTAGCAGCCCTACCCGCCCAGACACCCCTTCAACCACAGGCACGGAGTCTCCGCCCCCAACTCTCTCCTTCCCTGCGCCTGTCCCCTGGGTTGCTCAGGCACCCCTCCTGAGCTCTCTTCCACCTGCAGACCCCGCTCCCCGAGCAGCTGGGGCCCTCCGTGGGCTCTGCTGAGGGGCTGGACCTGGTGAGTGCCAAGGACCTGGCGGGCCAGCTGACGGACCACGACTGGAACCTCTTCAACAGTATCCACCAGGTGCGGAGGCAGAGAGGGGAGGGGAGAGGCGCAGACGGCAGGGGCACCTCGCCCGGTGTGGGCTGATCTCCCCTGCTGTCCCCCATCCAGGTGGAGCTGATCCACTATGTGCTGGGCCCCCAGCATCTGCGGGACATCACCACCGCCAACCTGGAGCGTTTCATGCGCCGCTTCAACGAGCTCCAGTACTGGGTGGCCACAGAGCTGTGTCTCTGCCCTGTACCCGGCCTGCGGGCCCAGCTGCTCAGGAAGTTCATCAAGCTGGCTGCCCAGTGAGTACCTGTGGGGCCGGTGGGTGTGTGGCAGAGCCCTGAGGCCACCTTCTCTC